TGACCTAAACCAATCTTCTTAACCATAGTGCAGATGGGGCCTGACATCAACCAATCTTCTTAACCTGGTCAGTCAAGTTGAAAATGTAGGTCAGAAGCAGCATCCGAAGCATCGAATGTGATAAGAATCCTTTGATACATAAGCCATGCAAGTTTAGTTGATGTGGCTTAATCAATAATTTGGAAGCGGAGCTTAACCATTCTTCTTAACCTTAGTGCAGACAGAGGGACGGACGGATGGGAATCGCCAATCTATAAGCCATGATTGCATTGCAATCCGGCCAAAAATACATACCCTTCGAGAGACAAATGCCTCTATTTGGTGGTTCTTCTTTTTGAGGAGTCCTGGTACCTTCTTCAGTGTCTCCTCAGCAGCAAGCAAATCTCCCATAGCACCCAGACATACTACAAGGGAGATAACTCTCTATTATATCTACTCTACACCCAGAAACATGCAAAGGGAGACAACTCTCTAGTATCATATCACATCCAGACACACTGCAAAAGATGGAGCAGCTCTCTACAATCATTTCTACCATAACACCCAGACACACTAAATTTTGAGAAACATACTGTTCTGATCCTTTTCCCATTAGTTATGTGAAACACACTGTTGCTACCCTTTTCCCCATAAGTTATGTGAAACACACTGTATGTAACGTTGTTGTAGTCACCTCAAGCTCCCATTAGCTATGTGAATAACACAGTATATGACAGATTATATACTCACCTCCCATGAGATATGTATAGTAACATTTTGACCACTTGGTTTCATCCTTCAACCTGTTAACAGAAATTCAGTCACTTATAGAAATCTCAATAGTATACAGACATAAAAGCTGACATTGAGTGTTACCCGCTGTTACAGTGAACAATGCATACTTTCAGAATTACTTACTCTTTTATTCAATGGGAAAATCAACTTAAAGTGGGATAAGAGACCTTCACATCTCTGCTGCATTGAAAAGATATTTCAAAATACAAAGGACCGTGGTACATGTATATTGAACCAAGATGGGACGTGTTGTGAATCGTCTCACAGTGGTAAGGCGGGATAGCGTGTAACACTATAGGACCATGGGGCAAAATAGAAAACCTAATCTGTAAAATATGTCCTGAATCTCTAGGGTGGGCTAATTACTGAGCATGGACCTATTACAGGTAAAGCCAGATACAAGTATATAATATGTGTATACAATGTATGTATATGTGAGACTGTACATGGAGGTCCATTATTTACCGTTTGAAGTTGTTGAGGCATTCACTGTAGTTGAGCTTCATCAAATTGCACCAACCTAAATGTTCAAAGGAAGAAATCAGAATTATACTTCTTTATATAAAAGTCATTTATACACAATATAGACACAAGCTTTTCATCTGTTACTACATACTTTGTTATTCATATGCAGTTGTTTCACACTAGCTTCTTTTCACAGAGGTTTGATTTCACAGGAGTTCATTTTTACAGGGACTACTGTACTACCTGTAAAGATTTACACATTTACAGAAAGTGAACAATAACGGACCACTTTCATACTGACACATGAGTTTAATCTCCCTCTGACAATAACTTA